ACGGGGTAAGCTGTGAGGTGAAGGTGTCCCCAGGGAGACTGGGCGGACGGAGGGACCGAGGTCAGGGGTCTCTCAGGGGTGCTGGGGTCCCTCAGCCGGACTGGGCTGGGGAGGAGCCGTTTGGAGGGACGTGCCCGCTGAGGGGGCGGGCTGGTGCCCCCTCAGAACGCGTGAGTCCTGAGCAAAGCCTTCTCCCCGCTTTTTCTGCAGCTTTTCCACCGCGAGGATGCAGCGTCTGCTCCCTGCTCTGCTGTACCTCTCGCTTGTGCTGCTGGGGCCCGGCGGTGAGTGTTCGGCCACCCCAGCTTGGGCCCACAGCGCTCCCCTGGGCGGGGGCCAGCCGCAGGCCGGTAAGAGGTGGCAGAGGGCTGCTCTGCGCTGTCCCTGTCGCACCTCGGGGGACAGCTCTGCCACGCTTCCCATCAGCTCTTCTTTCACAGGCTACCCGTGTCTTGGTGTGCCCGTGCACCGTGCCAGGCTGAGGCACTGTTGTGATAGAGCACTCACCTTGCGCTCCAAATTCACCTCTGCAAGATCAGATTAAATACTCCCTGTGGTGCAGTCTGTTGAACTAGGGAGCTCTCCTGCACTTAAATAACTTAAGAACCCTGTAATGTATGGCAACAAGAAAAAAAAAGTCCAGGGCAAACTGTATATCTCTATTTCTGGTCTTATTCTTATAGATATATTTGTTCTTCCTCTTGTCTCTTGTGTCCTTTAAACATATATAGTGAATAAAATAGATTTGGGTTCCAAATGTCAAAATTGTTGGCATGTGACCAGCTTATGGTTTTCATATTGGATATTGGCACTTGGAATCTTGGCCTCTTGTAAAGCATGATGTGGTGCAGCACAGCTGGATCCTTGTAAAGTGTACCCCTTAACAGCAGTGTCTAAGCACTATAGTAAGGTGCTTGTACCTTCTGAAGTGTTAAAATAGTAAATGTACATTCTTTTGAACATCTGGGTACCTAGTTTGAATTTGTGACCCAAGAAGCAATTTTAAACTAAATTTGGGGCATTTATGCCTCCTGAATTACTAGGATCTCATCTAAAAACAATTAGTGTGGGTTTGAAGTATGCTATAGCCTTCTGTCGGCATGAGTTTGTCTTGCACTTCACCTATTTAAATTACTTCCTTGTAACATGTTCAAGTTAGTTATTCTCCTTTTAAGTTGTTTAGTCACCTTGAAAAAAGCTGTACTCCCTTTGATGTTTACCAGGTGTACTAATTTTATTAACCAGATACCAATGGACAAAATGTCTGTAACACAAAAGAAAGTAGGTAGTTTTTCTGAAGTACCTATTCATCATTCATAGTAATTGAGGTTTGTGGGGGATTTTTTGATTGGTTCATTTTTTTTCTCCCCCAGATGGAGTCATTGTATTGTCTGTCCCTGAAGTGGTTTCATTAGAAAGTGGAAGTTCAACAAATGTCACCATCTCTCTGAGGTAAACTCACGATTGCATCTTTACTTTGCCTTTAGAACAGGGCACAAGCAAGTGGGTAGGACTTGGCTGTATACTTAAGACTTCCCTGCAGGCTGTTAATGTTAATACAGAGTGAATCTCATTAATGTGACTGGCATCACTTCATACCAGTGTGGACCAACATACCACAGCATTCTCACAAACAGCCTTGTATGGTTGGCTTCTGCCAGTAGCCCATGCCATTGCTATGGGAAGTTGAACAGGAAAAGATGTTTTGTACTGTCTGCCCTATATTAGCTTACTGAACTGTCTCCCACAAGGGAACTTACACCTGTGATTTCTAAAAATTGATGCTTAAGAGAAACTTGCATTTCCTAAAAGGCTCACTAAAAAAACCCAACTTCACCAGGCAAACAGAACTCACTATTTCTAGCAAAAAAAAAAAGAATCCAGCTGCTCCAGAGGAGGGGCTGTTGCACCACAGTCTCATTGTTTAATATAGTGCATAGGTTACCCATGGTTTTGCTATGTCAGCCTCTTCCCAGGAAAAGATTGTTAAAAACATGCACACCCCCTGCTTTGGGATGTCAGTTTGATTAAAGGGTATAGTCAGATGAAAATGTGAGAACTGTGATAAAGAGGGAAAAAGCAAAATTCTCCTGCAGCCCTGAACTCAGACACCAGTCTAACTTCTTGTTTCTCCCTTCACAGGGCTCCACTAAATGAGACACTGGTGATAATCCTCAATATTACACACTCATCAAAACACAGCACCATTGTTGAACTGCCTGAGGAAGTAAGTGACAGAACAGACTTCTGACCTTATGCAAAAGCCAGCATGGTACAATTCTCATCTTTCTTCCCTCCCCTTTGCCTTGCAGGTACAACTGCCTGCAGGTCACACTAAAGCAGACTTCCAAGTGAAAGCAGATGATGTTGGACAAGTAACAGTTTATCTTTATACCATTAATTCCAACTTAACTGGGTGAGAAACTGGTTTTTAGTTCTGCTTACTATAATGTAGCTTCCTAAACTTTGTGGTAACTTCTGTCCTTATAGTTAAATAAATGATGGGTGGTATGTATTTGAGAAGATGTGGTGACCATCCAGCAGTCCCCAAGGTATTCAGATAAATACAGGGTGTGGGAGCACAGTCTTGGTATCTTAGGTTTCATGACTAGATCACTGAGTTCTCATGGCTCCTTAGTCTCCTTTTATAACTGCCCCAGAAAGTATCACAACTACATGTCAGCTTTTCTGATCCTGGAAGCATTTGGTTGTGAATGGCCAGGGGGACACTTCTCTTACTGTGCAGAGCATGTTCTGGAGCACCAACAGCCTGATGCAGCTGTGCACCCATGTCATGACCACCAGATACAGATGTTCTGCTTTCTAGTTAGGGGAGCCCTCTTTTCACAGATGCCAGTCCACCCTAAGAGGAAAACAGTCCAGCATGGTGGAGAAAGCTGGATTGTATTTGTTTGTTGTCCAGATGCTACTGGGCAACAGGCTACTCTGATTTTACTTCCTCATTTCACTTCTGCTTTTGAGACTCAAGGCAAATGCAGAGGTAGGCACGTGAAATGCTCGACAGGACAGGCGTGATCACGAGGCTGTGCTGGTAGTGTGAAAAGTGAGATTCTGCCCTTGCATAACAAACCTTGTGCTAAGAGTGGAAGCCATAGGCACAAGGTGATCTTTTTGGAGGTGTCTGTGGTAAAAGGAAAGACAAGAAGGAAGAGATGGGTCGAGAGTAGGAGTTGGAGATGCCCTAAACCTAACAAGGACACTAAAGAAAAGGGGAGCAACACTACTGAAACCAACTCTGAATCTTTATTGTCTTGTCTCAACACCTGGCATCTGTTTTTTCTCTCAAAGCAGAACAAGGCAAAATCTCCTGAAGAAGTGTGAACACACAAATTAGCTAACTCTGTTTGTGTTTACCATCAGACCTAGGATTCAATTTCAAGTGATTCACAGCATCATAGTGAGATATGCTGATGAGGTGATTGGCTGGATCTATTTCCTCGCCTGGTCCATCTCCTTTTACCCTCAACTCTTTGAGAACTGGCGGCGAAAAAGGTAACGAGACCTCAGATATGTTTGCAAGTCACTGAAGCACTTTGCAAATCATGTTCCTGGCCTCAGTTACATCTGTCTTGGTTATTGTGAATTATGTGTGGAAACACTGGGGGGAAATAATGCAAGGCAAAGACAGGGCCTGAATAAATGCAGCTGCAGTGAGCTTTTATGCATACAGGTCAGAGGAAACTAAGTGCATCTTACAGACACCTCATCCACAGTCTGGCATCCAAAACTAATCTGACAGACTAAACTTCCCTCTTCCCTTTGGTGTCATGTTGTAAATCATCCAGCCAAGACTTACCTTACAGCTCCTTGTAGTGTTGTCTTTAGGCCAGCCCCCTTGAAGTGACTGTAACTAGAAATGTTATCATGTGTAAAAACTAAAACGTTTATTTTGGGAGAGATACACTACTGCTTCTGTGGGGTCAGGCTGAAATGGTTTTATTGGGATAGCTGAGCTGGAGGGGTGAAGTTGAAGAGCAGGGACACAACTTTGTCAGTACCAGTGCATGGCATATGAGGGATATTTCACCTCTCTGCCCAGTGAACTCACAGCATCATGTTGTCACAACGCCTGCAGCTTTGACTTACATCAAAAATTGCCTATAAATCAGGACATTCTAGGGTCAAGTTGTCCCTGCATATTTCTCATACTTTTTTCCCCTCCCTTTCTCTAGTGTTGTTGGACTAAGCTTTGACTTTATAGCATTAAACCTTACTGGCTTTATAGCATACAGTGTGTTTAATGTTGGACTCTTCTGGATTCCCTTGATTAAGGTAAGCAAGATTATCTCATAATACTTGCTGGGGAGGGTGTCTACAGCAGGGAGTTAAGGCATTTGGCTGGTTTTGCTTTCTTTTACATTTAGGAAGAATTCTTGGTCAGTTATCCCAGCGGAGTGAACCCTGTGGCTATCAATGATGTTTTCTTCAGTCTCCATGCAGTAGCTCTCACTCTGCTCACCATAATTCAGTGCTGCATCTATGAGGTAGGTCCCAATGCTGAGCTGAGCTGTCAGCTTTGACCCAGCTCCCTCTGCCAGACACCTCCCCACTCACCATCCACTCCTTTTGGGCTCCAGAGTCCTCTTCATTGCACTTGCATTGGCCTTTTGAGAAGTCAGGCTTCACAGCCCAGCTGCCTTTATCTTTCCTGAGCTAGTGGCAACTTAGCCACTTCAGCCTCATAGATGTTCTGGGCTTGTAAGTAAACTCCCTATGGACTCAAAATAACAAAGAAAACCACCAAGTCCAGAGTTGCCAAACAGCTCTCTAGCCAGCACATAGATCACAGCCCTACACAGCACAAACACTGGTATGTGCTTTGCTTTTTACTCACTCTGGAGGATTCCTCAAGGTAGGATAGGTCCTCAAGGACTCCCTCCAATTCAAACTTCCAGCTTTTTTCAACTTCCTTTCTCCTAAAACAGCTAAAAAGGCCCTTTTATAATTCCCACCCTTTTCAGGTGAGAGTGATTGTTACAGTTGGGTGG